ATCCAGTACCGGTCCCCTGGAGGGAGAGGAGATCGAGAAAGGGAGCAGTGAGGCAGCAACACCCTGTAGGTACACATGGAGATATGAATGGGAGTACGATGCTTGTGGCCACCCTTTGGGACCAGGCAGCAGGTCTGGCTGGGAACATGGATCAGGATGGGGTGAAGAGAACCAGCTCTCAGCAGCTTGGAGATGGGGAGCACTGGGGTCCCCCCCTCTCTGCCTTGGCCTTCCCACCCTGCTCCCCTGCTTACCTTTAAAGAAGACAAACTTCCCGTCGTGCCTCTCATAGGCGGCATCGATGTCCCCAGGGAGGCCGCGCCAGAAGTGCCCAATGGGCATGGGGTAGTTGTCCAGCACCCGATTATGCCGGACCCTCCAGAACCACCGGCCCTGACAGGAAACAGGGTGTTGGCAGAGAATGTGGAGGACACAGGGCCTGGCCCCAGTGCCAGGCATTTTGCTGGGGGCTTTGTCCCCAGCAGGGACCCACCACATCCCCAGGGAAGGGGCAGAAGGGGGTCCTGGCAAGTACCTTGAACACAAACATCTCCCCACGCAGCACCGCCACTGTGTTGAAGTTCCCATCGCAGATGTCGGGGCCGTACTGGTCAGGCCGGTCTGGGCTGCCTGGCTTGGGGGGTCGGTCCGGTTTCCCTGGAGGGGGTGGCCTGGGGGGTCTCTGGTCTGGCCTGCCAGGTCTTCGGGGTGTCACGGTGGGCAAAGGTTTGGTGGGCTGAGGGTGCCCATCTGTGGTACCTAGATGGGGTGGGTGAGAGAAAGGTTGGGGTGATGCAGTCCAGCAGCATCCTGCCTCAGTTTCTCCACACAAATGCCCAGCATCCCACCCCTGAGCCGATCCCCCACCCAGCTCCTCACCGTAGAGCTGCTGGATGCCCTTGAGGTCATCCTCGGGCAGGTGGAAGTTCTCTGTGTCCATCCACTGGTAGAAGGGGGCCATGATCGCACTGGGGTTGCTGGAGTGCTCCAAGCCCAGTGAGTGCCCCAGCTCGTGCACGGCCACCAAGAAAAGGTTGTTCCCTGCAGAGAAAGGCACCATCAGCAAAATGGGGTGGAGGACACAAGGTGTGGGGTAGGTCATTAGCCCCAGCACCCTGCGATGAGGGTGCTCTGGTCTCCTGCCGCTCCTGCCCACACCAGGGCATCCATCCCACTGCCCTCAAATTCAGGGGGCCAACAGGCTCCTCCAGTTGCCTTCACCACCTCCTTGGCCCTCAGCTCACCAGATACATCTGTGTTCTCCAGTGTCCAGGGCTCATCCAAGTCAAAATGCGTGTCCCCCCCCATGCCAGGGCCGGGAAAGTAGGCGTGAGCCAAAAACCCCCCGATGCCATCAAAGGGGGAGCTGTCTCCATGGAAGCCAGAGGCGAAGAGCACCATGATGTCAGCCTCCTTCTTCCGCTTCTGCCGGATGTCCTCGTAAGGCACCTCCCGGAAAACCAGCGGTGTGGCTTGCTCCCACACCCGGAATGCTCGGCGGACAGCCTCGTACGAGTGGTACCGACCCAGCTTCTCCGTGTAGTTTTGAATGCTGTGGGTACAGAGCTCACTGTGGGATGGCCTAGGACAGTGCTCACTCCTGGAGGGGGCCCATAGCATTCCATGGGCTGTGGGAGCAGGAAGCCCTGGCCAGAAATGTTTGGTACCTGAAGGTGAGATGGCTCTGGCTCCAGCGCCGCCCTGTCAGCGCATACCGCTTCCGTCGCATGTTGGACTTCATCCGCGCTCCAAACTGGTCCGGGACCCCGCAGCGGGGACGTTTCATCCACCTGCCAGGAGAGCATCGAGCCAGAGTGAGCCCCCCCCAGCCATGACGGGGTGGGGG